ACAATAAACCTTAGGAGTTAAATATATTGGTATCCCCTCCATTTTAACTTAGGAAAGCTAAAGTAAAGAGAGATTAAGAAACTTGCCCAAGGTTACAGAGCTAGGCATTGGTTAATTTGGAATGCAAACTCAAAAATCCAAGCACACACTGGGCACTCCTAGCTGCAGTGCCTCTTATTGGTTCCTGCTTCTTCCTCACCTTTCTAGACCACATGCCTTCTCAGTCCCCCTCCTGTGCATGCTCCTTAAATATTATTTCTTTGAGTTCCGATCCCAGATTTTCTCCCTTCTTAATCAGGTCATCTACTCCCAAGACTTCCTTACAGCCTCCTCAGGACTTCATAATGTTTCCTCCAGTTCAGAGCTTTATTCTAAGTCACAAAAAAATAAAACATCTATAAATATGCCCATTTGAATGTCTGTGTCTGTTCAGGTCCATTAGACAACTGTCACGTTTGCTCACTTATGCTCAGCTGATAAGAAAATGGGTTTAGCTTCCTTTTTCTCTTCTTTTCATGCCACTTGGATTTGATTCATTTAAAGCAAAACCAGCACTCTAATTCCTTCTCGTTATTTAAGTAAATATGTACTCGTTGCTTTTATTTTTTTATTATGTTCAGTTAGCCAGTATATAGTACATCATAAGTTTTTGTTGTAGTGTTCAACGATTCATTAGTTGCATGTAACACCCGGTGCTCATCCCAACACATGCGCTCCTTAATACCCATCACCCAGTTACCCCATCCCCACACCCCTCTCCCTTCTGTAACCCTCAGTTTGTTTCCCAGAGTCCAGAGTCTCTCATGGTTTGTCTCCCTCTCTGATTTCTTCCTATTCAGTTTTCCCTCCCTTCCCCTGTGGTCCTCTGCATTTTTTAGCCAAAGGGTAGGTTACAAGGAATGCTCCACCTATCTGCTGAAGGGAAGGTCCCAGTTTCTCAGGCCAATCAGGACTCCAAAAGGTCCTTCTCTGGCCATTGCCATCATCCTGGGCCTGGACCTGACCTCATGATCATAGACAGGAGAGGAAAATCAAAGGCTGAAGGTCCACTCATAATGTTAGCTGGGATGACAACCTCAAGTTTCTCATCATCCCCTAGATAGCCTGAAATCATTCATGGAATGATGGAAGAGTTTCTTGCAGTGAGAGAGGCAAGCCTCAACATACAAACACTTTCCAATTTTCTATTTATGCCACATTTTCTGAGGTCCCATTGGCCAAAACAAATCACGTGGCCAAGTACAGATTCAAGGAGTAGAGAAATGAACTCTACCTCTTGATAGAAGGATTGAAAAAAACACATTTCAAAGAGGCATACATTTGGGGGTGCAATGAATTATTGTGGCCATTTTTGTAATTTTGTGGATTTTCCTTAGTCAAGTCACAAGAATAGAAACTTGAAAAATCCCAGGAATGTGAGATTACTGGAGTTCTTCCAGAAGCAATGGGTTGAGAGGCAGCATCTGGGAGAAGCTATTTCAAGGGTAAAAGTGACTGCTCTAGACTGATCAAGATGGCAATCTCCAAAATCTCCCAAACTTTGTGACTGGGTATGACAGAAATAAGGTCTTAATCTACCCCTTACTTTTCTCCCTAAAATAGGTCCTCACTCAGTAATTCTTCAACCCAGTAAGTGACAGTATCATCATCCAGTTGGTTCAAGCCAAAGAAATGAGAATCATTCTGGATTCCTACCTGCCCCTTATCCCCATATCCTAACCAGGATTATTCGTTTTATCCATCTACAATTTATTTCTAACTTCCATCCACCTATTCCCATCCTCACTGCCATTACAGCCATCTGGTTCCCCTTCATCTTTCACTTGGACTTTTACTGTAGTCTCCTAAGTGGTCTCCCTGCTTCCTCACTTGTCCCCTTTATAATTAATTATCCAAACAACCACAATGGGATCATCTTAAAAAGTAAATCAGAAGATGGTACAGCTCCACTTAAAATCTTCCACGGCCTCCTATTGCATTTAGAATAAAATCCAAAGCTCCTCACTGTGACCTAAAATGCTCTTTACCATATGGACTCTGCTTGCCTCTTAATCTCAATTTATACAGCTCTCTTTTTATTAACTATTCTGGCCACACTAGTCTCTTTTTTTTTTTTTTTCCTTTCTGAACACAGAAAAACACAAATCTTGGGCTGAATGTCAATTCTTCAGCGACAGCTTTCCTAACCTCCATATCTTAAATAGCCCCTAGCCCTCTGCCATCTCAGTTATTCTCATTCATTAATCCATTTTTCTTGGTTTTTTTTTTCTTTTTTTAAATTTGGGTATACAAGCTTTTTTAAATGTGAGTTTTATTGAGACATGATTTATATAAAATAAACTTCACTCTTTTTAGTGTCCAGCTATGAGTTTCATCAAACACAAACAGATTTGTAGCCATTATCACAATCAAGCATATGACATTCTAGAAAAGGTAAAACTATAGGAGCATTGTCAGGGACTGGAGTAAAGGAGAAGCTGACTATGAAGGGGCATGAAGCAACTCACCCCTCTTGTTTATTTGTTTGTTTACTTATTAATTGTTGCCTTCCTCAAAAGGCACATCCCAAGAGAATAGGAACCTTGTATGTCTTGTTCACTCCTGTGTCTCTAGAAACTAGCATGGTGCCAGTCACTAAATAGGTGCTCCATCTTCCTTTGTCGAATGACTTAGTGAATATATAACCCTCCCGAACTTGACCCTCTCCCTCAATCCTCATCTGTAATCCATGATCATGTCCTATAGATATTACCTCTTAAATATCTCTCTTAGTTACCTCCTTTCCTCTAACCCCACTGCCATGTTCCTGCTTTCATTATTTTTCACTTAGATGATTGTAATAACTTCAAAAGTGGTTTTCCTGGCAGCAATCCTGCTCCCTCAATCACTGTCTATGGCAACTGCTGGGTATAATAGAATTACATCACTCCCTTGCTTAAAAATAAATAAGTAAATAAATAATGGTTCCCTGTTGCCGAGCAACCAAACCAAACTAGCTTGAATCGCCTCTGCTCCCAGGCACCTAACCCTAACTGCCCTCCTTGCTATTTACAGGGCTCTGCTCCTGTCTAGATATGGCTCCCAGAGCTAAGATATTGCTGCTCATCTGTCCTGCCTACAGCCAAGTGAGCCCCTCATCTCTGAAAGAGTCCCTGCTGTCTTCATATCCCCATTCCGTGGTGCCTCCTCAATTCCAGCATGCCTATAGACTTCAGGTCCCAAATTTAAGACAAATATCAACATGGCAAGGAATTTAGAGCTATCAGAGCAAGCCATGTAATTGTTAACCATGACATTTCTCAACCATCAAATCCTACTATTCTGACTCTTAAAGCCACACATTTTTCAGATACTGATAGTGGCAATTATTTTCCATTCTTCCATTGTATTTCAAAAAGAATTAAGGGGTTGGCATTGAATTACATTAGCTGGCTGGAACAAAGCCTAAATTACTCTTTCTCTAAAACTAACAAAAGTGGACTGGGTCAAAATTTTCAATAATTTTTAGTGCATGCCATCAAGGCTCTGAAATACAAAATCTTAATTATTTCACTGAGGTTTTTGGCAGGGGAGAGGAAATCACTAGTGTCTATCAAAGGAAACTGGCTAAAGTATATTCATAAAATATGTTACTCTGAAGTTGCAAGAAAAATGAAAAAGGAAACTCTCAGTGTACCACTGTGTATAGAGCCCCAAGTTATAGTGTTCCAGTGAAGACAGCAAAGTCCAGAATGCTGCTACTAACCTACACAATTCTATTTGCTCATAGACACACTTCTATTTACTTAGAGAAAATGTGGATGGATTACCAAGAGACCAGAAAAAGCAGCTTCCTGTGGGGGAAGGGGAATGAGGCAGATTGGAACAAGGGATGGGAACAAGACTTTCCACAGTATACCTCTTTATATTTTGGGTTTTGAGCCATGTGAATGTGTTTCCACCCCCACAACACAGTTTCGTAATTTTTGTTAAAAAAAAAAAAAGAAGAGTTTAAGTGGGTATCACAGTGTGACAAGATCCCATTAAAATCTCATTACTCCAGAACTTTGGAAATATAAAATCAACAAAACCTTTCAAACGGTCCTGATATCTACATATATGCAACAAACTTGATGGCTATATAAATACAAGTAAATAAATAAATACATTCAAAAATAAGACAGTGTCCAAGTGAGAGTGTAGCAGTTATCTGCTTTATCAATTCTCCTAAAAACTTATTTCTCTTAGGTGGAAAATTGGACATGTAAATTCATTAATCCTTTCAGGTCAGTGAAATGGTCCAAAGTTGTCATAATAGTTTATGGTGACAGCACTGTATAGAATATAAGTAATGCAACCACTTATCATTTTGATTTGACACAAAATGATACTTTTTGCTTGTCCTGTGTCAGTTTATTTGGGGAAACTATGCTTTCCATTCTCCTTCCTCCTACCCTTCTCACTCACACACACACACACACACACACACACATTTTGTATAATTTAAATGCAGCTCTCAGAGTTAAATGCTGGGGTAGCAAAAGTTGACTGCTGTGCTCTATTCTCCCACACACCCTGATTGTTCCAGGAATGAATATGGGACTCAGGTTTGGCCAAGCAGAGTCAATGGATTGGAGGTGGGGACTGTTAAAGATGCAGAGCAAAGGACGGTTTTTCTACTTTTGAAATTACAAACTCTAAGAATCATGTAAACCTGTCGTTGCCAAGACCTATTTTTACTGTCCATTAAAATAGACTCAAAATGAGAATTATATCAATATGGAGATTAAAAAAGAAGAAAAAGAAAATCATGATAATATCAGTGAACAGTGGATCCAGCCATGCTTTGAGCCAGTCCATTCCATGGATTTACCAACTTCACAAGCCAATGAAATCTTTATTGTTATTATTTTGAAGCATATTTCAAGTGTTCTTCAATAAAGTCTTTATGCTTTTACCTGTACATATTTTAGAGTTTCTTTAGAAACTCTGGTCTTTCTTGGGATTGTTTCTGAATTTACCTGGAAAATGCAGAAAACATAAACTTCTAAGTTTAAGAGATTCAGAGAAATTCTTCATGTGATCAGTGAATCTGGAGCAAGGTAAGGCAGGTCTTTCAAGAGGAGGGCTGGGCTATAGGGTAAAGGGAAAAATACACAAAATAAAATTAGGTCTGTGGCTCCTAAAATAATCCATGCCACCTGTCATGCTTACTTCCATAAATGAATGACATTTTAAAACTTTTTTCTTTATTTTTTTAATTTTTTATTGTTATGTTAATCACCATACATTACATCATTAGTTCTTGATGTAGTGTTCCATGATTCATTGTTTGTGCATAACACCCAGTGCTCCACGCAGAACGTGCCCTCTTTAATACCCATCACCAGGCCAACCCATCCCCCCAGCCCCCTCCCCTCTAGAACCCTCAGTTTGTTTTTCAGAGTCCATCATCTCTCATGGTTCGTCTCCCCCTCCGACTTACTCCCCTTCATTCTTCCCCTCCTGCTATCTTCTTCTTTTTCCTTTTTCTTAACATATGTTGCATTATTTGTTTCAGAAGTACAGATCTGTGATTCAACAGTCTTGCACAATTCACAGTGCAATAAGATAATTCTGAAAGTAACTGCAGTCGATTCCGGTTGCCTATATATTCATATTCTTCCCATATATTTCATTAAAGTGGCTAATTAACTTATGTATCTGTTCATTCAACAAATTTTAGTGAGTTACACTACATGCTGGATGTTGTTCTAGAAACTGGGAATATAACAGATGAAGTCTCTGTCCTTGTGAAATTGACATGCTAGTGGAGATGATGTAAAAGTAAATAAACACATCTATAATATATCAGGTGGCGTTTTTTTATTGCTAAGAAGAAAAACAAGACGAAGTAAGGGAAATGGGGAAATGTTGAGGATAATGTACTAATTTATATATATAAATAAGAGATGCCTTCTTGGACAGGGTGACTTTAAAGCAAAGATTTGAAAGCAGAGATGGCATAGCCATGGGATGCCTTGATGAGGGTAATTCTGAGTACAGTCCATGGAGACATGGGGCATGTGATTGGATATTATTGTTTGGATAGTATATGTTTAAGGTAGTGTTAACCAGTTGGGGCTATGAGACCAAACCACCCTTGAATGAGGAATAGGATCTTACCTGAAGGTTGAGGTTTTCATCCCACGGCCATACTCCCCCAGCCCCATCCACTCCCTGTGGAAAAGGCTTGTTGTATCTCAGGCCAGAACCTTTAAGCTGGGAGGGAGAGTCTTAGGAGGGAACAGAAGAGGAACTCTTCCTTGGCCGTGACTATAGACCAAGGAGGCAGGACAGACACACAGGGATGAAACTTAAGAGGACACACAATCTGTGAAAAGGTGGAAAGAGAGCCAGGAACCCAGTGCCCCAGGCCAGTTGCCCCAGCAACAGGGTGTGGGAGAAAAACTGAGTCAAAGTCAGACACCTGTACTTTTTAAGTTTCCACTGCTGCTAGCATTTGCTTTATCTCTAGCAGTATTTGCTCCAGGTTAAGTCAAGTCTTTTAGAAAAGTATCTTAGATGAGCTGAGAGAAGTGAAAGGGAGGGGCTTGCCACAATTTAAAGGGAGAGGGTGGCTCAGAGGTGACAGTAAGAGACCTTAAGAGAACGTGAAGTGAGAGGAAACTTTGGGTGACTGAGTGAGTGCTGCTAACTACCCGAGTGCATCTCTCCTTGGACAAATCTTGGAGCTAAGGGTTCAGAGCAGGGACTGCCCAATGAGGAAGGCCCTATGTGGAAAACTCACCTCCGTTCCTCTCCACCCATGGGAGCTGGACAGCTTACCCTCTACTCCTCAGTTTCTACCTCTGCAAAATGGGGCTAATATTACCTCACAAAAACCATCATCCATGTTTTGCTAATGAGAAATTAACCTGCCAAGGCTGTGTAAGTAAGTCAGCATTGAAGACAGGTCTCAAATCTACTCTTTCCCACTCCCAAGCCCGTGTTCTTAACCCCACACCATACCGCTTCCCCGTCTTATTGGCACAACCAGCAATCCAGACATCCAAACCAGAACCTGGAAAGTCACCCTGGCCTCCTCCTACCCTCTTCACCCCCAGATCCATTCATAACTGAATCCTGTCAACCCCACCCTCTCAAAGTCCTTCAGACCCATCCCCCCACTACACTCCTGTCTTAGCTTCTCCACCCATTCCCACCATTCACCTCAGTGGAATTCCCTTTACACCTTCTCTTTCTAGAACCCAATATAATAAATATAATGACAGACATAGCACTCACCTTAACTGTTCAATGGCTTCCTATCAACTAATTCATGGCTCTCAAACTTTACTGTGCATAAAAGTCACCTGGAGAACATGTTAAAATGCAGATTTTGATTCAAAAAGTTGAGGGGGGGCAGGAATGTGCACAGTTCATAGGCATCGTACATGATTGATACATGTAATATGTAGATGCTTCTTACTCAAAGTGTATCCATGGACCATCATTGGGGAGCTTGTTAGAAATGGAGATTCTATGGCCTGGCCTTAGTCCTACTGAATCAGAATCTGAATTTTAACAGAGTTCCCAGCTGATTTGTATGCATGTCAAAGATGTAGACTATACTTTGATCTGAAGAATAAAATATCAAATATTTTCCATGGTATAGGAGGCTGTTCATGACCAGGATTCTTGCTGTGATCTAAGTTTGTAAAACTGGAGAAACTGATGTACCAAAAAGCAACTGACTTCTCCATCATGATCATCCCAGTGCCTAGCACAGTCCCTGTTATATAAGACATGCTGCTTTATTGATATATGTTGAGTCAAAGTGCACTACATCGGTGTATATTTTAAAACACATTTTGAAGTACAGCATAACATTCATATTGTATCTTCCTCAAGTATGATTTAACTGGAGTGAAAAAGAATGGATGGGGAAAAGATGGTCAATGTCATGAGCCAGATACATTTTACTCCTTAAAACACTGAACATGTCATTGGGCAGGGGACATGGGTACTTAGTCCTGTCTGTGAAGTCCTTGCTGTTCACAGTTGATTTACTGCCTGAAGTCAAATCCATGCTCTATATATTAAAACACAACCCCCACCTTTTTTTGTTGTTTAAGAAGAGCAAACTTTCACCACAAAGATACAAGAACAGTCAATATTGATCTTCTTGACGGATGGTGCACCTCACGCCACAGGCCACTCAAGCATCTGCTCATTACCACCCAACCCTCCCTTTTGTGGGGAAATAATGCCAAGTGGCCTCCTGTGCTATCGGCTGCAGATTGCAAATATTTAAAAGAAATAAATTTCTCTGAATGAAAAGCACCTTTCTTTGTTCTCCAACCCCCTCTCCTCCCAAGTCATGTTGATTTTGGGGCTGTGCATACTGCCAGCACCTGTACTTTTCAATTGTTTGCTTGCCAACATCACTGTGGTTTTCTTGCTTGGGTTTAGGAACCATTCTAAGTACAGTAGCCAATGATGGTGTATTTTCTTTCTCTCTTGGCAATCTGTAGGGGAAGCATCAGCTTCAGGACACCTAGCAGCAATTGTAATTAGAGGAAACAGGAAGAGAAGAATAGAAATTGGAGCTTCTCTGACTGAATACTTGCCCCCATGTGATAATGAAAATGGACCACTGCTGCAGTCTAGAAAGAAAGGTTTGGATTTCCTCGCTAGCCTTATTATTTGGCAGAGAGTTCTTCAATTCGATTTTGGGAAATCCAGCATCATTCTTTAACTGAACATAAAGACCCACAACAAGAAATAAAGGTGGGATTTCAGCAAGAGGAAATTCAAATTATGATTGAGAATAGCCACCTAGAATATTACCCCAGAGGTCTGAACACAAATATGGAATAAAACTGTTATTTCTTCTACATGAAGCATTACCCACCATTTGGTGAAATAGGATCATGCTTTGTGTGATCTTGACCACTGCTCTTAATCTCTTCCCACTGAGCATTAGAGTGAAATTAACTGCAGCCAGGCATTGTGACTGGCCAGTGCAGATGACAAATGAGTGCAGGGATAAATGGTCTACATGTAAAGCTTGAGCCCATTCTCTAAACCAAAGCTGACATCTCCTCCAAAGAGAGGGTTACAGCCTCTATTACCAAGACCACGGGGGAAGATACTGTTCCTTTTTAACCCCTACATACTTTTATTCTACTTCCAGAGTATTTGGGCATCCATGTGGCTCCAAATCTTGATCCTTATGCTTTACACGTGTGCCTTCCCCCAATCTTCAGGGATAAAGCAAATGCCCACATCTGAGCACAACAGCACATTAACATTCTGTTGGCTACAGGGATTGAAATTCAGAACCAATAGGATATCATGAGATTTTTGTCAAGACTTGCAGGTTCAAGGTTTGGCTGAGAGAAAGCAGAGTCTGGGGTTGCCACAACCACCTTACCAACGTGGCAAGCACAAGTTGGCTTTGAATTGCTTTTTGGATAAAATGGCTTGAGTTGGATGAGCTGAACTCTCTTGCCTGTTCTGCCTGGTGCCCAGGGACCTGTGTTTGTGATATGAGGATTTAAAATGCAGTCTGTGGTCATGGAATAGTTTATCTCACTCTGGGTAAAACTGATCAATTCTGATAAAGATGGTACTGATACTGATAAGGATGATGCCCACTTTGCCTTAGTTGGCATCATTCTCCAATCAGCTGAGTCTAAAAATCTTAGGTACTTTCCTTATCCCCAAAATGAAAAATATGATACTTGCTACAAACCCTTAAAACTAAAAGAAAGAGGTATCTTGCTTTTGTCAATACATGTACTGAGCCACAGAGTAAGGAGCTAAAACTAGCCTCCCTATTTGCACTGAGTTTGGAAGATCTTCGTGGAATTGCATAACAAATGTTTTGAATTATATGAAAATCATTAAGCCACCTTCAGTTTCTTGTAAGACCTCCACAAATGACAGAAATGTCAGAGGAAACATGAAAATACCATTGTATAAATTTAAGTTTAAAATTAAATTCAGATTTACACAAAACAAATTTGTATGAAGAATTAAATGTATTTAGAAAAATTGTCTGCAAAAATCATCGAATCTAGATGTACTAAAATTTATATTTCAAAACAATGTATCTTTAATGTATCCCAATGTTGTCACCATCTATAAAAATACTCTTAACAGCTTGAGTAACATTTGCATCAGCAGAAAGATTCTTCTGAAAATTAAAAGTTAATAAAAAATTATTTGCAAGCTTGACCACCTATTGATATTTAATAGTAAGGCATTAAAAGGCTGCCTGCAAACTCTGGATTCCCTAGAGCAAGGCTTGTTGATGATTGGGCTTCACTGTAGCATCAGGCAGTGAGCCGGCCTTTCCCATGACAGATCCCTCAATGTCAGAATGTGAAGGGCTTTTCTCTGGCTTCTCCACAGAAGAAAGCTCCAAATACCAGCCCAGGAAATATTTATCTGGCTGATCAAATTCTGGAAATAGAACAGGGAAAAGGGTCTGAAGATCCCACAAGGCTACTACCTAAAATTTCAAGAAACCCCTATTTGAAGATTCCACCCCACCTCTGAGCCCAGTGTCCCTGGGTTGAGAGCCTCTCTAACTTAATATTGCCGGAGAATAAATCCTTGTCTTGACTCTACAGGGTGAGCCAAGGAAAAAATGGAGCTTTGGAACCAGACTATCACCAGCCCCTTCTTTTAAGCCCTGTGCCTGTTTCCTGCTTTAGAAGGTATGTGAAACCTTCAAGTTTCAGGTTTCTTGGGAGTAGAATGAATTTATTCACGTCTCCTTGTAGGACCCCTGTGTAGATTTGTGTTGGGAATCATTCTATTCTGTTAGGTCAGTGATCACATGTTAGTCAATTTGACATCTTTCAAAAGAATTGTTGAAATTGCTCACTTAATGTTATCTCCTTTTTGTCTTTGTTTTTTACCTTGTGCATGAATGCATTTTGTTTTAAAGCAGTGCTTCCCAATCATTTTCAAAATCACATGAGACAAAAAATATATAGCATCTGTAGGGAACACTGGGGTAAATGGATAAAACTATTCAAGGCCAAGGCCAACTGGTCTAACTTTACCTGCTATCCCAGCCCTCACAACACTACCAAGAGAACTAAATAGATTAATATCTCTGCCTACCTGTGACCCATTTGCAACATACCATTTGGGAGTCTTTGTTCTGTTGTTGATTCTGAGGGGTCTGGGGAGAGGGAGAGAAGATAAACAGATGTTATCAGTCTACCATGTTTAACCAGCCACCCCTCATTGCTCACTCTTCTATATTCTTTAGGTTAGATGATATTTTCCCCCTCTGTGGTCATCCACTTCATGGTCCCAGAGTATCCAACTAGCTGATCCAAATGGCATCTTCTTGATACTTCTTGCCAGGAACCCCAGAGGCACCAATGGCTTCTCTATGATTGCTACCCCTGGAAGTAGTAAAGACCCTGCTTTTTACCCCACTATCTCCACCTAAAGCAAGTACCTAGCTTCATGATGACTCTAAGTCACAGGAGCCTGAACTCCAGACACATCCAGCTTGGTCCCTGGTGACTGGAGAAAGAGGGCCATCTATCCCAGCCAATGAAAAAGAACTGCAAAGAAGACAGAAGGAAATAAACTAAAAGAAGCTAACATACAGTTTGATGGGACAGTCCAACCCAGTACTCATGATCGTGGGATTTGGAATTGACAATACCTGCACTGGAATCCTGATTCCACCATTTACTAGATACATTATCTTAGGAAAATTATTCTAGCTCTCTAAGCTTCAATATCTTCATCTGGAAAACAGATTGAAAAGTAATTCCTGTTGCCCTTGAAAGTTTAGGTGAGAAAGCAATTGCAAAGTGCCTAGCACAGAGGCCATGGGGGAGTGAGTGGGAAGAAAATATTAATGAGGAGTTGAAAGGAAAAAGATAATATTCACAAAGAAGAAAAGATAGGGTCTTAGAAAAAAATACCATTAAACAAAGAATAAAAGGAATTACGGCCACAGTTTACAAACACACTGATACTTAGGCCCCCGCAATCTACAGAGAAGCAAGAGCTATATAGAAATATACTATATATAAAAATAGGACATATGTATAAATATACGTGTGTAATGTGTATGTGTATACATACATTTGTCAATAGCATCTTAGGTCCTTACATGTAATAGCAGTTCTAGGAATTAGCTTCCTGATGTTGTTTTCCAGGAAAAGAACAAGGTTATCATCTCCACTTAGTTATTAATTAGCCTTTCAAATAGGGTCAGGCATCCTTGACTATTGTTAGCCTTCTTTTTACAAGACCATAAATAAAAATACAGCTGATCTCTCATTTTATCATCTGTCTTGCTCAGATGCCAGCCCACACACAATTCTATGTAGCAAAAAGAGCCCAATGTGAATATTTAAAACTAATATATTGAGGATATGTATGTGTGCAGGGCCAGACCACCATACACGTATAACTATGTGCCAAATTTGTCCAAAAAATGACTAAAGTGGAAGAGAATAAATAAAAGGTCAACACCTCCTTGACAGCTGTGGGTACATATATTATTAAACCTAAAGGTGTTACTTCTAAAGAAAACATAAACTGAAGTTCCTTTCAGGTTCTCCTTAGTGTTGGGGTTTCAGACTGTACTTGGACAAAGGAATCATAATTCAATTATCCAAAGATTTATTACAAAACACTTTGCCCATACTGGATATTTTGATGTGTAAACATCAGAGTATTACACTCCCTCTATCCCAGGCTTCACATTTCAGATTTCATTAGCCAATAAAGCCAGGTTTATTTATAATAAAGTTAAGCCCTTCAAACCACTGACCATGGAAACCAGATTTTGAAATAATTCAGATTTGTGTTTCTGTTCTTTCTAATTAAGGGTAATATCGGGAAGCACAGACAGTGGGTAGCATTGTTCAAGCACCATGGATTTAAGCAAGAAAATCTGATTATCAGCTCATGTCAGAAGCCAAGCGATAATGCAGCTTAGCATTCGTTTGGGCTTTTTCTTTAGCCAAAAGATAATTACCGTTCGTAAGGCCTTACATAAGTGTATCTAATATCTAAGGCCCTAAAATTTATGAATAGCAAAGACACACAATAGGCAAAGAAGAATTACTGTATTTATTATTTCTATGGCTTGTTCCACCATGATAATTTCATTATCTAGCAAAGTCAAACCTCTAAAATCAAAGTATAATTTCTTAAAGGACAAGAAGTTAAATATGCTGGCAAGGTTTTCTGCCCAATTTCCTCTGGTGAAAGTTATTTCTTACAAATAAGAAGTAGACCAGCCAGAATTCTAATGGGAAATTTACCAAAGGGGATTCAGAGTTACCTATTGAGGTCATTGCACAAACAGATGTTAAGCTTCTACAGTGAGATATTTTTTCTTTCAAAAAGTGTTATTTCTTAATCCTGTGCTGTTGAAAATAAATGCAACACTTCTCACCAAACAGTACCAAAAATCTGAAGATTGCAAAGCACTTCTTGGCAAAGATGATGGTATCACAATGAACACTACTGTAATACAAACAAGCAACCTGAGTATATATAACGCAGGATAAATTTTGGGAATTCAGAGGGGAAAAAGTTATTTGAACTAGGGGTTAGCAGTTTGATATATAAAAGCAGATCTAATTAGAAGGATGAAAAGAAAATCAAGTTCTGAAATTTCTAAAATTAGAATGTTGAGATCCTCCAAAACATAAAGAAGCACCTTCTTTTAGAAGAGAAAGATGGCATGATTGTCCTTAACTATAGATTTTTTTTATTTTTTAGGAATAACTTTTACTATTAATATACTATTCATTATATATCAGTAGCAACAAACCCTTTATTGAGTTCCTTGTACAGACCAGGCATTGTTTTAAACACTTTAGACAGGTGAATTCATCAAATCCTCATGGAAACCCAATGAAATCAGTACTTTCCTCTCCCCATTTGACAGAGGAGGAAAATGAGTCACACAGAGGTTCATATAACTGCCCAAATGGCTCTCCCTACCCCAAACTTACATATATGTAAAGTTTTCAATTTTATTCATCTTCATAAATTGACTTGGTTTTAGATATCAAACTTCTAATCTTTAGTTCAAATCATTTTTCCCCTGGAGCGTCCAGAATTTATTCTGTGAAGTTTATACTGAGGCTACTTGTATTACAGCAATGCTCACTCTGACACCATCCTGAAGCAAAAGTTTCATTAGGTCTGGTCAGAGTAGTTCCACTGCTAGCTAGGCACTAACAATGAGCTCTACAACCTTGGGCACATGGCTAAGCTCTCAGTTCAACAGAAGTCAAACACAACTAGTGAATCGTTGAATACTACATCAAAAACTAATGATGTACTGTATGTTGGCTAAGTGAACATAATATTAAAAAAAAAAAAGAAGTCAAATGAGAACAACAGAAGTAGGAGAGAGGATGAGGCAGAACTTGATGGAAGAAGATGAAGATCAATGCCTGGGCATGGGGGCCCTAAACACTCCTGCTTGCAGCCTCACTGATGCACCAGTAAGGAGGCATTGGTGCTTCAGGCCAAGTCTACCCTGTGCTTCTCTTCCTATCTTCTAGGTTTTTTTTTTTTTGATTACTTTTTGATTGATTCCCCATACCTTAACTATCCTCTTGCATTTTCCTTATTTTTTCTTCTTGCCTCACACTCTGGGAGATGTTCTGCAACTTCTTCTTGCAGTATTCTGTTAAATGATTTACTTTTAGCCAGCATATGTTTGATTCCATGAACTCTTTCTGTTTGTTGAGTGCTTCTTTTTCAAGGACACAGCTGTTCTTATTTTATGAATTTTCTCAGAATTCCCCAGAAAGCACTAATTAGATATCTTCTAGAGTGAAAATTTTCTTCTGGCTTCTGAATTATGTCTGTTTCTCCTAATGCCAATTTCTCTATTGGGTCTTCTTGGTCCTTTTTGTGCAATTGGTTTCCCTTAAATACTGGAAGTCCTTGGTACAGGCATATCTCATTTTATAGTGTTTTGCTTTATTGTGCCTCACAGATATTGCATTTTTTACAAATTGAAGTTTCATGACAACCCTGCATAGAGCAAGTCTATCAGCACCCTTTTCCCAACAGCACTTGTTCACTTGGTGCATCTGTGTCACATTTTGATAATTCTTGCAATATTTCAAACTTTTTCATTATTCTTATACTTGTTTTGGTGATTTGTGATTGATGATTACAACTCACTGAAAGTTCAGATGATGGTTAGCATTTTTTAGCAATAAAGTATAGTTTAATTAAGGTATATATATGTTGGGTTTTTTAGACATAATATTGCACACTTAGTAGAAGTGCAGCATAGTGTAAACAACTCTTACAAGCACTGATAAACAAAACAAGTTTATTTGACTGACTTTATTGTGATTTTCACTTTATTGCAGTGGACTGAGACCAAATCCACAATATCTGCAAGGTATGCCTACATTACGAATAAAAACCTAGTTGATGAATTTCCTTTCTGTTTGTGCAGATCTGCTTCTCTTATTAGAGAATTCAGGGCTTTTTCCCATGACCATGAGCTTGGTAGAGGTGTTCAAGACATGTGAATAGACTGGCTTCACTTCCAGGTGGGTGAGCTGGCTGGGGCTCCTCCAAACACCAGAATGAGAGGCCTTCATTCTAAGGCACCAATTCCCAGATGAAGAGTCCAGGTCCTCCCCCATTAAAACCTTTCACTTTTTTTAGAAAAGCATATGTTCCAGTTTTGTCCTAGAAAGAAGACCCTACCTGTAAATCAATCCTGCCCTTTCATCAATCCCTGGAGGTTTTTATTTGACTGGGGAGTTCGGAGGAAAGAACTGAGCATGCTTGACTCGGTACACTCTCCTTCATCTTTGGGGTCTACAAAAAGCAGGGGGCTACAGTCTGCTTTTAGTCATGAGGTAAGCTTATCAAGAAGAGTCTGTTGTCTCCCACCCTGGGGGAGTTCTGCCATTTCCAAGTGCTACCATGGTAGTTCAGGCAAGGCTGCCATTCTGGGGGTCAGAACAGAAAGCCCATTTTGGCCACACACCTAAATCAGTTTCCATACCCATCTGATATTTCAACTCCTATCAGCCAGTTTCTCTGTCTTCTCACTGGTTCAAAATTCATGCAAAGAAGAGAGGAGGGTTATGTATTGATCCCTTAGACCACAATATAAACATCTGTATGGGTTCTTTGATTGTTTTTGTTTTCTGGTCT